ACAACGACTAAAGCATGCCGAACGGCAGATTTGAGCGGAAGTTAGTCACAAAGGTCAACCGCTAGTCATGTGAGACGGAGGCGAATCGAATCAACACCGGGCACCACTGACAGAAATTTACTCCAGTCTATCCACTGGGGATGTTTAAACCAAGTCTTTTTGGATTACAGACCACCCGGACCCAGTTTGTGCGCAAAAACTTATCACTTTGTGGCGATTAGGTTCGACTGAAAACTGCACACTACAATACCGGTAACAGAGTGACGAGGTGATAATTGTGAATGACAACCAATCACGCACGCACGCACGCACATACACAGCTGCAGTAATTAATGGCTTACGCGTCATTTTTGATATCAGGAGCCTGTACTGGGGGGTGACCAAGTCCGGTAACAGCAAGAGCAAGCAACTGAAATGCACCACGGGCTCGATCCGCATCGAACACAACCGAGGAGAGTGTGTTCTCCTCTGTTTTGCACGGTGCAGAAGAGGATGACTGGATGAAAAGTTCGGGCAGATGGAGGGTGCGTTGGGTCACTTCGACCATTGACTTGATCTGCAACGGTTCAATGCAGAAAGAGATACTCGTAGGAGAGTTCGCCATCGGAATCATATGCAACAGTTTTCATCATGTATCACATAGCTGTGTGAAACTTTAGAACCTGCATACTAGGTGCAAAAATCAACGCAGGGTCTTGATACAACTATTACTCATCATCAGTATCATAGACGGTGCTGGTCAAGTCAGGGATCGTGAATTGGAACTGCTCCACCGTCGACGAGCATCTGCTTCATTACTACAGTTTGCCGGACATTCTATGCATGTTGGTAGCACCCCCCTTCACCTCCCGAAAATTGAATATACATTTNCCGTATAAATAAAAGTTAGAAAAAAACGATCTATTTTTATCGTCCTTATAATGTGTTTGATGCACACCTAGTGGGTTTGTCCGAGAGAAGGGAAACATGCACAGGTCAAGCGTACGTGCAAACGTTTTAAGGCGGTCTGACCAGATAAGAAATGACAGCGAGAACGTCAAAACAGTTCGACTTGAACTGACCATCTTTCAGATTTCACCTTCACACACACACACACACACACACACACACACACACACACACACACACAATCCTCAGTTACTCCAGTCAACCATACGCTCGGAAGCACCAGAGTGGAGTTTCGCTCTTATTGGAGCTCATCGGTAGTGCATATCCACCATCGCGTCCGGGCTTTGAGCTCCGGACCCGACGCATAGAAGGCAAGTGGACGGTGGATATGCACTGCTGGTAAGCTCTAATAAGAGCGAAACTCGTATACGGTTGACTATAAGAACTGAGGATTGTGTGAAGGTGAACTACTACCATACTACCGTTGTTCGTCACAAAACTTCTTAGGTAGGCGAATCACTTAAAAATGGTTCATCTTCGGGTGCCCAGATTCGAACACAAAGAATCGATACCCAGTCTAGAAGAAACCGTTTTTAAAACGAATAGAAATAGTATCGCAAGTAGCGGTAGCTGCCATGTAATGATCCAGCGGAATAGACGTTCTGTTGAGACGGGAAAAAAGATTCAAATGTGAACTTTCAAACCAGATGGACAACACTAGAAGCGATTTAAATCACCACAGAATAAAACAAAATGAGTATAAGATCAAAATAGGTAAAGGTAAGTCTCGAATTGGGTTCAGGGTAGGAGTATTTTATGACAATGGGATAAGAACGACAATCAATACGAACCGATCGATCATTCAGAAGTGAATCATCAACATAAGTTGTCTTACCACATGATAATTATCTGAACTGAGATATCGGGCAAGGGACAGGGGATTTAGAGAACTGATACTACTACTATTCAGAGCGACTCCAGAACCCACGGGATCCGGGGTCCAATTGACAAAACAAGTCACGTGTTTGGCACCCAGTGACCTTGAACAGGAAGATAAAAATTGCCGCAAACGACGATGCAAAGGACCGTTGCGCATGAATTTCGGTTGACGCAAGTTCGTTCGGTAGCCTGCAATAAGAATGAATGAATCCGATATAGCACATTATCTTCTTCTCTCAGAGATCGATACATTTGATATCCGTAAAAGGCATTAATAATCTGTGCTTTACACTTCAGGTCTCCGAAAATTCCGAAGTGTCATCGAAGCCTGGTTCTTGACCCCGAAGAATAGCTCTCACAAACTACGTGTTTTAAAGTATCTGCTAGGGAAAATCCAATTCAGTGACCTCTGGTGGGGGGGGGGATATTTTAGTTAACATACACAGAAGAAAAAACCAATCATGGCGGTAATCATTGAGCTGATGAGTGATATAGCTGGGTGCCGCAAAAGACTCAGTATGGGCGGGGGTGGGTGTCTACGGTTGTGGCTGGTCACCCTTCCCTTTGCACTTCGCGAAATGCTTCCATACAACCAAAGCGTTTCAAATAGCCTCTACTGAGGAATCCCTACTCATTGCCTTCATGTAGCCGAGGTGTTTTCCCACCAAAAATGAGGGGACGAAAAGCCGACATCCGGAGCTAAAACCAGGTTGGTGGACCACTGGCAGTTCACCTAGGGGAGTTGGCCAAAAGTCCTGGCTCCAAACAAATCGAGAAGAGGCGTACGAACCACACACACCTTTTCGGTTGTGGCTACGGTCACCGGCTCGATTGGGTATCGGACGTTTGATCCTGTTCAAAGGGCGTATGATCCGATGAGCTAGACACTGGCCTCCCATTGGATTGCGGTTTTTACACCCCACCCCGCTGCCTTGC